CCACATCCATACACAGCAGCCATTAATCCCACACAGGACCAGATTAATTCTAAAGCTGCTTTTAGTGCTTAAAGTCACTATCAGCACTGCCCCAAACACTAATACACAGGCATGCAGATGCTTTCACAATTCAGTTGTCCTAGCCTAACTGGTGAACTCTAGGGTGGTGCTGTTGTACTGGTACCACAGAATTTTACCAGTTCTACCTCATAGTAAAGGCTTTCCAGCAGATTTATCATTATCATTATTACAACGGATAAATAACCAACCAGACAAGTGTCCCGGTGCTATATAGTTCAAAACAGGTAGAGTTCAGACAGGTAAGAGGTCAAGAAGGCTTATGTGAGTGTGTCCCAAACCATATTGACATGTGGGGCTGAATGATTTTAGCAAACGATTAAATTGTGATTGTTCTGGCAAAAATTGCAGTTGCAGTTTGACTCACAATTTTCAGCTCAATATCCATAAAGTACAGGAACAGTTTCAAACACAACAAAAATGGCATCATACAATCATAACATTAAAGTGACAATGTGTAGTTTTTACCATTATTCTCTGGACATATCCATTGAAATGTTGTAAATGAATTAAAAGATACCCAGTTGTTCAAAATTATTGGTGGTTTTCTAACATGTAACCATAAAAATCAGGTCTAAAATGCATGGAGGCAGGTCTAAAGCTTGGTTTATGCTTGACGCGTCCGCGAGGTTTGCACGGCTCCGCGCGGCAAAATTGCGTCATTTTAACAACTACGCCCCTCCACCGCGCCTCCGCATGGCCCAAACTTGCCGCACCGCGCACCTAGGAAATTTTCTAGCCACGCGGACGGTTGGACGCAGAAAAACATGGTGGACTGGCAAGAACTAGTATGGCAGAGGTTCGTAAACACAGACATTTGTATGATTCAGCTCTCAGAGATCACCGTGATCAACATGTTGTTAATAATTCTTGGAGAGAAATAGCTCGCACTGTCGGAAAAGATGAGGACGCTGTTAAAAAATGCTGGAATGCCATGTTGTAAACAGTAATTTTTACTTCTACTATGGTGTAGTGTTGGATGCATGCCGTAGAGCTCCATGCTGCCCCCTACAGTTTGGGAGAATATCGGCTCACCGCAGAGACAAGCTGCATGAACCATAAATGCTGCGAGTTGTGAAGCGCGTTCCATCCGCGAGCCGCATCACCAAGCGGAAAGTGAATGCGTCAAGCATAAACCAAGCTTGAGGGTGTTTCTCAATGCCAAGGGACCTCGCCTTGATGTCTTGGCCCCGCCCCTGTTGCCTAGGAGATACGTCATCAAGAACCTCCAAGACATGTTCCAATGTTCATGTTCTACCGAGGCATGTATTCTCTGTTTGTTAGCCGTTTAGCTAGCTGAGCAAGGATACATGAAAGGCAATCTGATGGTCTCGTTATTTTGCTGGAGGTTGTGCTCCCAAAGATTTTTGACCCTAATTGCCATCCGTTGGTAACGTCTTACCTGAACACAAAAATAATGCTCGCTTGCGATTATTTAGGTATCTACTGCCCCCTATTGCCAGGGAAACGACACACTGTCATTTTAAAGGCTATTACTCTGAAAATGACATGATGACATCCAAAGGTAAGAATCTTTTTCAGGAGTATTTAACAAAAAATATCCAAGCAGAATTTTCCCCAGCATTGCTTTATCGAGCCTAGATGGGAATTTTTCTCAGCCCCATGCAAGTTTTTCCGGGACACCCTGATGCTTTTCTGAGACGCCTAGACATTTTTCTCACAAAAACACAGCCACAGCTCCAGAAGCTGACACAGTTTACTTGCCTATTTTGATTAACCATAGACCCGCAACAGTTCATCCGAAAAATTGTAAAGATTTTTGACAGAAGACATGTTGCTCTTTCAAATCTGTAAATTTTTTAATATTTTTAAAGCATTTTCCTTTTAGCTTTTTGAAGAAGCCGGTGAATCCGCCTCTCTGTCCCTCCCTCTCACTAACTAGCGGTGTGGTGAGGGACAGAAAATGAGTGACTGAGGAGAAACAGAGCGGGGAGTGGTACGTTGTGTCTAAAAGACAGCCACAGCCAGAAATAATATTTTCCATGGCAGTGCCATGGAAGAAAAAAAAGAGAAAAACCATCAAATGCTCCAATGAGCTTGTGGCCCATGTGCCACTGTGTCAGCTCAAACACCGGGCGTCCGCTGCCCAGAAACCCCCTGCTCTGCTACCACTGATTACTTTTAAAACCCTGGATGTGTAGAAGAAGAAGAAGAAGAAGAAAATATCATTTCTATAGCGCCTCTCAAGATAAAAATCATGAGGGGCTTCACAAAAACAAAAAATGTAAAAAATATTAAAAAGCTTTTAGAAAATGTTTAAAAATATATTTAAAATGAGCAAAAATTGGCAATTGGGATTTTAAAGAAAAAATGTAAAGAAAGAGAGAGAGTGAATAGGAAAGAGGGAAATCAGTGGATCCTGAGGAAGGTGGAATAGGTGGGGAGAGCAGAATAAAGAGAGAGTGGTGAAGAAGGTCATGCAAAAGCCATCTTGAACAAGTGAGTCTTCAGCTGCTTTTTAAAGGAGACCACTGAGTCCACCGATCTCAGGCTCAGGGGGAGAGAGGTCCAGAGTCTGGGGGCCACAGCAGCAAATGATCTGTCACCTTTGACCTTTAGCCTGGTGCGCTGCACAACCAGTAGGCTTTGATCACTGGACCTCAGGGACCTGCTGGGGGTGTAGGGCAGGGGTGTCAAACTCATTTTAGCTCAGGGGCCACATTGAGGGAAATCTAGTCCCAAGTAGGCCGGACCGGTAAATTAAAGACAACTTCAGATTGTTTTCTTTGTTTTAATACAATCAATATTAAACAAGGCGGGAGCCAGGGGACAGTGTATCCAAAATAGTACAAGTACAACACCTGAAGTGTACTTGAAAATTTGAACAAATTAAAAAAAATCACTAAATAAAAAAAACATTCCTTAGTGATTCAAAGAGCTTACAGATCACTAGATTAGTTTCATGCAGCACTTAAAGTATATTTGACTCATTTTACTTTACATCTTTTAGCTTTCACCAGCACATCAACATCAGAAGTCACATCCTGAGTGGCGGCCAACTTCAGGATGTGATTCAAGTTCTTGTGTGAGCCTTGAGCGCAGCTTTGTTTCATTTATACTCATTACAGAGAAAACTTGCTCACAAAGATACGTTTATTTTCACTCTACATTGTAAAGTATGAAAATAAAGTTTACACAACCATCTCGCGGGCCGGATTTAACCCGCTTGCAGGCCGCATGCGGCCCGCGGGCCGTATATTTGACACCCCTGGTGTAGGGACTAAGAAGATCACCAATGTAAGATGGTGCTTGTCCATGTAAGGCCCTATAGACCAGAACCAGGATCTTGAAATGAACCCTGAAGTTGACTGGCAGCCAGTGAAGCTGGAGGAGAAGCGGGGTGATGTGGGTGTGTTTGGAGGACTTGGTCAGAAGCCGAGCACAGGCATTCTGAACCACCTGTAGACGGTTCAGGGAGGTTCTGCTCAGACACGTGAAAAGAGAGTTACAGTAGTGTAAAACACAGTGCTGACACAGCAGATCCTGGGTCAGTTAGAAGTGCTGCTTTGACGATCACATGGTTGCGTTCTCTGAAATCACGATTTGAATCAGAAAGCGACAGATGGCCCAGCCTTCGTCCCAGGAACATTGGGTACAGCAGCATCTTGTTTTATATCAGATTAACATCTGATGCAACACCCTGGCGGGAGGGTGGCACCGATTCACTGATTAAAAAGGAAACAATCAAACCTTTTTAATAACATCCCCATCAGTGGAAAGGTGGTGCTTTTAGAGCGAGAGGCACAATCAGCAGTGATGCTCCAGTCCCCGTGCTTAATGAAGCGTCAGTGTTTGGTTCCTGGTCCACCTCCAGGTTCACCTGCAGCTGCTTTTATCCGCTCACTCAGCGTTTCTGTGTCAGAGTCAGAGTCTGCTCAGCTCTGCAGGCTGCCACCTGCTCTCAGGGCTCGGGCTCGTGGTGAGATGCTGTTTCTGCCTGTCAGTCAGCAGGAGTTAGACCCGCTCACACACACACACCTGGTCTGATCTAATGCTTGGACCTGACAGGTGTATGTACAACAGTGTTTCTGAATCAGAACATAAGGAGATGTGAAACAACTTTGTGAGGATTCAGAGACAAGTGAGACTAAATTAGTGTCGATTGTGAGTAAATCTCTGTTGCCATGGCAACCTGGTAAACACTTTAGTTGTTGGGGTGACACACTGACCAGCTATTTGCTTTGCTTTTAGTTTTATTTGCAGCGAAGAGAGTAAATCTACAGACTTGCTTTGTTTAAAATGGCCTGCTGCTGAGATGTGAGGCTGTTGCTATGACAACAAGGTTTTTTGCAGCGCTCCTGCTTTTTATCTTCTGGTCTCCGCTGCCGGAATAGGGCTGATTTGTTCAGACGTTAGTATCCGATCAGGACCAGCCAGCTAAAGCACGTAATGCGAAGCAGCAATGATGTGTCGCTCCACACCTATTCCTGTGTGATGAGAGGATGATCTGTCACACGATCTGTGCTGTGATTCTATTTTAGTTTTTCTCTCTTTGGCTCTGCTGCCTGCTTCTGTCACACTGATCCGTCTCTAAAGGATTTTAAGGGTTTTTATAAATAAACCACTTTGCATAAACTTGAATGTTTGTTGTTTTTTTTTAATTTCTTGATGTGAAACAGTTTTATTAAAGGCTGATTTACTGAAGAAACTGCATTTCCAAATGCTTTTGTGGTGTTCTTATTAAAGGTGTATATGGTTTAGGTTTGAAAACATTTGCTAAACATTGATTTCCTCAAACCTCCTCAAAGCAGAAGCCTCCAAACCAGGAGCCGTGGGCCTCCACACCTGATTTGTGTTCCAGTGGAATCTGGCAGGAGTTGCCGCTCACAAGGGTCACTTCTGAGATTGGGAGTTCAGACTTTGTACGTAAAATGTTTTGACTCTTGTTTCTCACTCTCTAGCAGTTGCCATGACCACAGATGAAGTGGAAAGTCACCAGAAGCCCAAGAAGCAGGAGGAAGCTGCTCAGGATGCTCGACCGGCCTCTCCTGAAGATGAGCAGCTCCAGCCCATAAACCGGAACTCGGCAGGCCGCGGCCTCTCTCGCCTTTTCTCCTCTTTCCTGAAGAGGCGTTCACAGTGTGACAGTGATGGGGGAGAGCGGGGAGACAAGGGAGAAGAGGAAGGCAAAGCCCCCATCGCTGACCCTGAGCCTGAACTGAAAGCAGAGGGGGAGACCAACGTGGACCAGCATTCAGTCAGCAGTGCTGAGGCTCAGGTGAGCTGACACACCTGCTCCGCATCAATTTGTTCCCATATTAAATGTGACAAGCACCAACATGGCTGACTTCCTTTTGGCTTTACCCCTCCCCCCTGTAGAGCACCCAGGTCAGAGAACTGTTTGGCCACGCCCACTTTTACATTCTGTTTGATGTTTATGAAAATTCACATTCAGCCCAAACGGAAGAATAAACTGCTTCGTTCTTGTACGTAGACGCCATGATGTCATCACTGCACCTGTCTTTGTCAGGCTCTCCAGGCAGAGAAGAAAGAAACAGAGGAGGAGGCGGATTCAAAGGAGAAAGAGAAGAACGATGAGAAGGGGGAGGCTCTCGTTCTGGAGCAGGAGGAGGGTAAAGAGAAGGAGTCTGCTCCTGAGGGAGGCATCGGAACAGAGAAGAAGGAGAAGACCACAGACGAGGAGGAGGAGGTCAAAGCCCCCAAGGCTCCTCGTGGACCGAAGACCATGGAGATCAGGGTCACACTGCTGGATGACACCCTGTTGGAGTGTGAGCTGGACGTAAGATCAGTTCTATTAAACCGCTAACCAGCTCGGCACATACTGGATGTGCTGGTTTCTGTTTGGGTGACTGGTACATAACCAGCTGTCATTCCTATTTGTGCCAGAAACACTCCAAAGGCCAGGACCTGTTCATGAGAGTGTGTGACCACCTCAACCTGCTGGAGAAGGACTATTATGGTCTGGCCATCTGGGAGACTCCCACTATGAAGGTGAGCTGGACCAGCATCAGGTTCTGGGGTGTTTCAGGTTCAGCTTAGAGATGATGCAGAGCCAGACAGGAAGTAGCGTTCAGTCTTTAACCCTCTGGTTTTCTGGGTGTCACCAGACCTGGATGGACATGACCAAGGAGATCCGGAGACAGGTTCAGGGTGAGTCCCTCGGCCCTCTAATCAGGGTTCTCTGATTTTAAACTCTTTCCTCTTTCAAAATGTCCTCTTTTCGTTCTCCAGGTTCTAATTACAACTTCACTTTCAACGTGAAGTTCTATCCTCCGGACCCGGCGCAGCTGTCAGAAGACATAACAAGGTACTGGATGAGTTCCGCTAACAGGATCTGATCTGCTGTCTGTAGGAGTCTCATCTGATCTCCAAACCTAAATCAGAACCATCCTATGACCAGAAACAACAGAACCGCATGTTTCCTGTTGTTTAATGATGCAGTAAGAGGTGTCTGGTTCTGGTTTTGAGACCAGACAAATCTGGTCTGTTGTTTATTTTTACCATAAGCTACTGAAACTTGTTTGTAGTCAGATGATTGAGTGGCCCAATCGACTGGGTCACAACAGCTGCACAAGGCGGGTTAAAAGTCCTTTTAGGGTTCTACTGATCAGAATCGGTGCTTGCTGGACTGTGGGGACAGACTGCCGTTATTGGTCAAGACAAAGGACCTTATGAATACTCTGCATGAACACAAGCCAGCTGATCTGGTGCATTTCACGGGTAACTGTGGCAACTGAGAGGTCTAGAAAAACCCAGTTTCACTGAGACCGAGACCAAGGTGCTTGCTGGTGAGGTAGAGGCACAGAAATACGTTTTATTTCCTTTAAGTAACACGGCATTGTAGCGGGCGCTGTGAGAACGACACAGAGATCTGTGGTGGACAAAAAAAAAAAAGCAGTGATCAGATCTGAAGCTGGAGGCAAAGAGGAAAAAGGCAAAAGTGATTTTAGTGATGACATCCATCCAGAAAGGCTGCGTTATGGTGCTCAGGGATCATTGCGATATTCCAGATTGGAGTCGAGCCGCTGCTCCTCCTGCATTGACAAGTGAGGAGTGACTCTGTGCTATTTTGCCTTATTGTGATGCTTCAATTGACTAAGAGCTGTTTTAAACAGCTGGTAGAAGCATGGTTTCTGACACCAAACACCGACGCTTGGAGTGTTTATAGAGGCCATATAGAGGCAGCTTAAAAGGATACAAAGAGGGAGTTTGAGCTGCCCTGGGGCGCCTCCGTCAGTGCGCCCCAGGGCAGCTGTGGCTGCTTCGTAGCTCATCACCATCAGTGTGTGAATGGATGAATGATACACTGTAGTGTAAAGCGCTTTGCAGTCTTTACGCTGAGAGGCGCTATACAAGTGCGGGTCATTTATCGTTTTGTATAATATGATCCCTTTAGTAGTCACACTAAAGATTCTGTTGGGTTTGGAACCTGGTGCTGAAAGGAGAACTCTGTCTGAACCTTGCAGGTACTACCTGTGTCTGCAGCTGCGTAAGGACATCTTCCAGGGTCGCCTGCCCTGTTCCTTTGTCACCCTGGCTGTGCTGGGTTCCTACGCCCTGCAGTCTGAGCTGGGTGAATACGACCCCGAGCTTCACGGAGATCGCTACGCAAAGGAAATGAAGATGGTTCCAGGTCAGACCAAGGAGCTGGAGGACAAGATGATGGAGCTGCATCACACATATCGGTCAGTTGGCTTCTTTTCAAAGACTCAACTCACAATTAGCAGCAATTAGCACAATTTATTTATTGTAATTCTTGAAAAGAGATCCTAAAATACAGCTCTAACCAAAAGGAGCGTTTAATCCAACCGGTGTTTCTGTGTAAAGGTTATAAATAATGAATATCTTACTCTGAACAGCCTCTGTTCAGGTATGTAGAGTGTACATCCTTCTGGAACGATGAGCCACCAAAGGTCAAAGTGTGTCGCTGTCATCTTAAAACAGCTCCAATCTCCTGTAGTTCCTAACGTATCCCTCTGAGAACATTCATTCATGATCTGAACAGATAAAGTTGAAACTTTCTTCTGCAGTTGTAGAAACTTAAAGATTTTTGGGTTTTTTTGGGTGGGGGTGTTGCTGCAGGTCGATGAGTCCAGCCCAGGCAGACCTGATGTTTCTGGAGAACGCTAAAAAACTCTCCATGTATGGAGTGGACCTCCACCAAGCCAAGGTGAGCTCAGGAGGGTCCAGCAGAACCAGCTGACCTTCAGTAACCTGATCACTCAGTAGTGATTTGACCTGATGTCCTCGATTTGACCTGAGAAGCAACCAGTCAGGATACCTGACTGCAGGTTGTAGCACTGTTGGCTTGCAGCATTAAGGTTGCAGGTTCAAATCCTGCATGTGTGGGCCATGCTCTAGAGTGCCACCATTTTTGTTGCAAATGTAACATCATTTGTCAGCGATGCACTTCAACGTACTCTCAGATGGCACCGGTGCGACTAGTTGTTCAAGTCTTTGACACTTATCTCCCAGTGGTCCAATAACAGACATACATTAGTCCCACATTGTGGTCTGTACCAATCAGAGATGGTGAAGGGCGGGACTTCTCCTGGACCCAGCCAACTTTGTGCATTTTTACGTTTGTGTGCAAGGCTAAGCTAGTCGGGTGAACCAGTGAGGAGGGAAAATACAATGATTGGGCATTTTCTCAAGTTAAGTTCTTAGCCTTCTGCATCCCACTACCAGAGCTCTGGCACGAAACCTCAACCCCACAGGTTATGTTTGGAGACAACATCAGCAGCATATGAGTGACTCCCAGCCAGAGCAGCTAACAAATAGAGCCCAAAAATATACAGATTTGACGGAAACACCAGCATGAAAAGAACTAGTGAAGAAGAAAATAATGAACGGGATGTCACCACTGTTATACATTATTGTGTTAAACATACATTTGTATTACTCTTAAAATTTAAGCAACTAGGTTGGTGGAACCAGTTAGCATAACTTGGTTAAGTAAAGTTGACTTTTCATTTCATAGTGTTGAAGCACTTTAAACACCTTTAGAGTCAGTAGTAATCAGTGCTGCCTACAGAAACAGTAATAAAAAAGACAACCGTAAAACTGTGATATTAAATGCATACATTGGGTGCACCCAACTTGTGTGCCGGTGCACCTAAGACAAAAAAGTTAGGTGCACCACTGCAACCAGTGAAAAAAGTTAGTCCTGATGGAGTAATCATGTTTCCCCCGTAGACACCAGCTCCTTGAGACCCTAGTGAGTGAGTGAGTGAGTGAGTGAGTGAGTGAGTTCCCATGTGCTATTGGTTATTTCAGACGTCTCAGCTGAAGCTACTGATAACCAAACATCCTGACTTTTAATACTAGGATCTATTTCCTGCTTAAATCAAAGTTTCCTGGTTAGAGTCAGAGTTTGGTTGGTATTTCTGGTGAGGGTTAGGGTTAGTGTTTCCTGGTTAGAGTCAGAGTTTGGTTGGTATTTCTGGTGAGGGTTAGGGTTAGTGTTTCCTGGTTAGAGTCAGAGTTTGGTTGGTATTTCTGGTCCACAGACCTACATATTAGTTGTTTATTTGTGTCAGGTTTAAACCGATCCTAGCCCATTAGTTCCCGCCTGACCCGATTCACTCAGCAATCCTCCAGCTGCTGTGTGCTTCTACAGATGCACTCTGTGAGTAATAAGATGCATTCGGCCTGAACAGCTGCAAGTCATGTGACTCGTCATGGTTCACATCCAGAACCAGGTCAGTACATCTGCAGGGAAACTGGATTTTAAAGGCAGCAGATGGGATTCCTCGCTGACCACACTGCCCCCCTGTGGATACAGTTAAACTCAACATGATGAAGTCTGACCAGAGAGCTGGAAATGATCATCTTCTCTGTTAGGATCTGGACGGTGTTGACATCATGCTTGGGGTTTGTTCTGGAGGTCTGATGGTTTACAAAGACAAGCTCAGGATCAACAGGTTCCCATGGCCCAAAGTCCTCAAAGTTTCCTACAAGAGGAGCAGTTTCTTCATCAAAATTCGCCCGTCTGAGGTAGACCGGCTTCAGATCACACAGCTCTTTATCGTCAGACTTATCTGGACCTTTAATGAAGCTGAAGTTTGTATTTGAATAGACGGAGCAGTATGAGAGCGCCATCGGTTTCAAACTACCCAACTATAAGGCCGCCAAGAAGCTGTGGAAGGTCTGTGTGGAGCATCACACCTTTTTCAGGTAGGATCCTCTTTTTGTAGGGATGTTTAGTACCTGGGATCAAATGAGGGGATCAGTATCTATACTTCCAATGTTCAGGCTGACCTCCACGGAGATGGTCACCACTCCAAGAAAGTTCCTGGCTCTGGGGTCAAAGTTTCGGTACAGCGGACGGACTCAGGCTCAGACCAGGCAGGCCAGCTCCCTGATCGACAGACCAGCTCCTCGGTTCCAGCGCTCCTCCAGCAAGAGGAACTCACGCAGTCTGGATGGAGGTACGCCTTCAGGGTCTTTACAGAAGGGACCCCAATCAGCACCACTCAAAGGGTTCAACAACACAACTGGTCCTAGTTAACCATTAACTGTTCTTCTCAAATCATCATGATTAGTTTTAATCTACTACAGAGAAACTCTGAAGGAAAAGAGTTTGCTTTAAGATGAGCAGGTCCTGATCCAGTTGGACAGTTTTTTCACAATAAAAGTAAAGCAAGGTGTTGGGGTTATGAGGTAAGCGAATAATTAGTAAGCTTTTACTTACTTTTGGATTCTTCAATAAATTCTGTAAATATGGGAATATTTACCAATTTATTAATTAATTTGGATATCAAAGATATCCTCGGGGCACCATCCCCTTTTTATTAGAAAGGGAAATGAATCCAAAATTATTATCAGTCTATCTGAAATGTGGAATCCGTCTAGGAGCAGAGATTTTCACACTGACACAAAGAAGTTACTGGAGACAAAATCTGAATTTGATAACATTTAATTAACAAGGGATAATAATGTAAGACAGTTTGATATAATTAGAGATGTGTGTGTGAAATCAACTGTGTGTGTGTGTGTGTGAATGAATGCTTTGTCCTCCCGGAGCAGGTGTGCGGGGGAGTGTGTGTCCTTGAGATGTGTGCTGTAAGTTGTGACTTTTCCTCTCTCAGATGCAGACAAAGGAATTAGCTTGCATTTAGTGACTTTAAAAATCAGTGAAACTGAAATTAAACACTTCAAAAGTTAACAAAACAACAAAAATCACTCATAAATTATTTAATCTAAACAGAGTCAACCAGCCTGGCCACAGCTGACCGACAATAACCCAGATTTTTAAATAATAAACAAAAGATCTTACTTCACGGTAGATATATGACATATTTGGTACGGAAGATAGAGATAAACCGTGGGTATTTTGAAGCAATAGCGCGGTGTAATTGCTTATTGTGGTCTAGAAGAAACGGGAAAGATAAAAGTAAAAATGAAATAAACTTGCAGGAGCAAACAGCTGTTCTGAAGCAAAGCAAGGCGTCCCTTGTGTTCGCTGATCAGATGTGATTTTACGCTTCTCCTCCCACGAGTGTCTCTCCACTGGCTGGACACAAAGAGAGCAAAGTTTCTTTTGTGCTGAGTTTGATAACTTACAGTGTCTCCGTGTGGTTTGATGGCTTGGAGTTGCTTTCCAGCGGTTCTGTGTTCGATCCACTTAAGCCTCCAGGCCTCGTGCACACGTTATTCGGAGCCGTAGTCAGCGAGCATGTTCTCCACCGGCAGTTAACTGGTCAAAAGAACCATACGATTCGTTTCTCGCCGAAATTTATAACCTCCAGCTGGCGGGGAAACTGTCCATGTACAGAACCCGTGCTCCGCCTTGGCGATGACGTCATCACATTGCTTCCGTGTGCAAAGCATCATGGGAAATGAAGTGTCTCTTGGCGCTGATGTTGGAATATGCTCTTTCAGAGCAATTTAACACAGTCTTTTGGAGAAAATCACTGCACAGTAATTTCTCATGAGGGCAGACCCTCAACAAAGGTCCATACAGGAGGTGGCGGTGTTGTGGATCGTCCTGGTGGATCACAGTTAGGTTCACATGAATCGTATAGATCTTAAGAGTTATGGAGGCATTTATTTCTTTATTTTTTGGTGGAGGCATGTTGGTTTCAGTCAGTCATTATACAGTAGTAGTCAATTTTCATGAGAACCCACCTTGTTCACTAAACATCTTTATTATAGGGAAACCAAACCCTAACCCAAACCGATCACAGTCATGGAGACAGCATGCTGAATGCTGACAACAAGCCACGGGAGTGGGCACTGCATTTATAACGGTCAGCGCTGCCAACTTAGCGACTCTTTGGGACTTTTCAGACCCCCTCAATGATGTTTTTCCCCATAAGCGCTAGTGACAAATCTGGTGACTTATCTGATGACCCTTAGCTACTTTCTGAAGAACTTTGTCGTTGATATTTCCTGTAGATTAGCAAAAACTCGGCCTGCTCTCTGGTCCGTCTAGGGCTGTAGCGAAGCCTCGACGAAGTCGACGGCTCGATTCTAAAAATTTGTCGACGTCAGATCCGGAAGTCGACGCACCGCGCCCACTTGTTGCATCCCCAGGAGTTTGTAAATAGAGGAGGAATCTGCCTGTTTTTCCTCTAGTTCGCCCTCTTCTCCGCCTTCACTAACATCTCCGCCAAATACCGAAGACCCGGAACAACGTCCGTCCACTACTAGATTATTTTCCTGTTTTGCCCCTTCGTCTCCCGGCAACGGACAAACACTTCCGGGGTCAGATGCGCTGCTTCGTGTCTATCGCAGATGTAGAAAATCACCGGGAGCGCTTCTCCCTTCATAAAGGAGCTTCTTTCAGACATTAGGAGAGCTGTTTTGGTGGTAGCAGTCTCTCCTCCGTGCTGGTCTGTTTGCTGCTGGGTGTTTTTGGTTTATTTAAACTTGATAACTTGAACTTAATGTTGGTAAAGCTACTGTTAGCATCTTCGCTAACAGCTTCTTGCGTTGGGATAAGCTGTTACGTTTTGGTTTAGAGTTCATCTTTTTTGTGGTGTAGATCTCCCTTTTATTACATTTAGAGTGTTGTGGGTTTTCGGTTTAGTGTAAAATATCACCTGAGTTTGGTTTAACCCGTAAGACCACTCGCCTCACGCACATAAGTGACCAAAACAAAGCAGCATGGAGACACTCCATCTTCTACCACCTCTCAGGCAGCAGCCTGCACTCCCAAGTTCTACACGTCACCAGAACATAACCAACCGCAACACAATAAAAGCAGTGTTATACAAAATGGAAGGCCTGTAATGTTTATTCTCTTACAGTAAGAATTTATCAATTTTTTTGAGGAATTTATTTGAGATTTTCTGGTTTTTGTTAATTGTGCAATAGAAAAATAATCATTAGATTAATTTTCTAAATAGTCATTAGAATAGTCGACTATTCGATAAAATAATCGTCAGAATAATCGTTTTAAAAATAATCGTTTACCCCCAGCCCTAGGTCCGTCCTTCCAATCGTTAGGAAAGAGAAAGATCTGCCCACGTGAAAGCAGCACGATCACGTTAATCGAATGACCAATCTTAAACCTGCCTTGGATGGGCCAACACGTGCCTGTTCTGCCTGCATTCGCCAAAACACAAAGTCAGCAGGAGTTTGCTTGAGAACCACTGGCCCGTTAACACAATAGGTCTGTCCCAGCAAACGTTGTCACGACGGCAACATGGTATCCACGGCAAAAAATGGTCGCTGTTGGACATCTTAAATTTGTTAAGAGAAAACAGAAACAGAAAATTCTCTAAAAGTCCATTCAGGTATATTTTACATGTCAACATTTACATGTATAATTGTTATTATTCCAGTAAATATTGGCCCGACGGTAATGTGACGCAGGAAAGTCGAACCGGAGGGGGGTAATTGTGTCTTGAAGTACCAGAAAATGTGTGTAAACAATTGAGAAAAACTGTAAACGTCTAAAAGAGACACGCTGAAAGAAGTTAATGTCACGGCCAGAAAGACGCCGGTTTGACTTTCGTTTTGGAAGTATTTTTTAGCCGTTACGGAACGTGTTGGTTTGATGTTGTTTCAACGGTCATTAAAGTAGCTTTCCAGAGTTTTCTACTTTCCGAAATTATGTATGGTTTTTCAGAAATCCGTAAAAGTGATTATCTTATCATGTACTGTGATATACTGTAAACAATACGTCTTTTTTTTTTTTTTTTTTTTTTTGCTACGCACGCCCCCTGCCCCGCAGAGCTCCGTGCAATAGGAAACTGAGCGCCGACCAGAACTAACCAATAACGTTAGACTACCGCTTAGACACTTCACATTTAAGGAATACCTCGGCTGATGCAAAGTTGATGAACTTTTCACGGACAAGAAAGTCTTTGAAATATAAATATATGAGAACACAACATGACATGAGAATAATAGTTTTGCCGGCTATAGAAGCACATTTATAAACAAGAAACGTGAAGTCGCCATTTTAAAAAAAACAGCGACAGACTTTTTGTGTGATATGCTTGTCAGCCACTAGATGGTGCCAGCAGATAAGAGAAATACTCTGGAAAGAGACTTTAAACATCCAAATGTTTGCTGGTGTGGCTCATCGGTTAAAGGAGCACGCCCTTTCAAAATAAGACAGTTCTCAGATCCTGTTCTGGCAGAATGTGGCTCAAATTAACTCCTGTTCACCCTCAGGAAGGAAGAGAGGGGAATTATGGGTAAAGTAGCTCCCATTAAAGCTGTTAGAGCAAATCCACAGCACAAGCTAGGTTTTGAACCCAAACACAGCCATTGCCACATTGCCAGAGGACACGGAATAGCACTAAACACCAGTCACCGCTTTCTAGGTCCAAATGTCTCTTGTTTTGTTCGTGACTTCAAATGGTGTTTTTCTCCTTGGAACTCTGGTAGTTTGTCCTAAAGTTGAAGTGGAACCAGCCGGCTGTTGCTCTGATATTATTGAGCAGAGAACGTCTCACCCCAGCAGTGTTCTGCTGCAAAATATGTAAGTGTGTAATGAGTGGAAGACCCAGGGAAGTGCGGCAGTTTGGTGAGAGCAACAACTGGATTGTCCAGTAGTTGCTTTTGGTCTGAAATATGTTTTTGGCAGCGGTTTTTAGACAAATGAAAGAAAACCACTTTATTAATATTTATCTTTATTTTTTAAGCTGCACAAAATATTTATAGTCATTCTGTGTTGTTGATGTTAAGAGTCATGCAAATGTTTTAAGCTTTGCAGATTTGCTATTGCAGCTTTAATGAAGCTTTAAGGTCTTCTCGGAAGTAACATAGCTCATCATATTTTTTGTCTTTTTTATTGTAAACTCATGTCCAGACTTATGACCTTGTTCAGATACTAGTCCATTGGAGACGTGTTGTCCATTGTGGGACATAATTTTGACATTGCCTTCTCTGTCCCGCTCAGCAATGGCTATTACTCCTGACAACAAATCCAGCCGCCCCGTCAGTGCTCCTGTAATGTCCCCTGTCTCTCCGGGGGATGCTTCACCATCACCGCTGCTGTCCGCACTGCATCGCGCTGACCGCCATGATGGCTCCACACCTAAAAGCCATCGCCATGATGACAGAAAAGGGGAGCTGAAGACAGAACGTAAGGCAGAGCCCAAGTGCCAAAATCCCAAACCACAATCTACTCCAGAAATAAAGGTAAAGGTTCTGATGAAGAACGTTGTGGTTTGGACTGGTTCTAGAGTGGGGTTAGGGTTAGTGTTAGCACTAGAGGTCGGTTACAAACTCTGTATGTGGCCAGGTGCTGGTGTCCCTGGAAGCACTAGATACCTGATACTAGAGAGGCATTTACTGCATGAAGTCACAATAAAGAGTAAAATGGTAAAACACAGAAGTTAGTGATGGCTACAATAAGGAGGTTGTTGTTTCCTGTGTGTGTGTGTGTGTGTGTGTGTGTGTGTGTGTGTGTGTGTGTGTGTGTGTGTGTGTGTGTGTGTGTGTGTGTGTGTGTGTGTGTGTGTGCATACGAACGACACCAGACTTTGTCCAGAAGAGAGCGGAGACACTCCCCCTCAGTGACCAATGGGGAGAGAGAGAAAAAAAGCCAGGTGTGTTTACCAGAAGCTGCAGAATCTAACTCTATGTGTCAGAAAGGGTCAAAAACACACAAAAAAATTTTTTGTTTTACTTTTTTTTCCACACATATGATCAGTCACTTTTATTATTGGCTAAAATTAGTAAGGACCCCATCTGTGAACTGAGCTATAAAGCCAAACGTATGAGTAGCACCAGCTTCCAACCCGGTACATCCTCAGACATTCTGCCTCATAGTAAATGTAACTAATCAGGCTTTACAGCCAAATGCGATTTACCACCAAGAAGTGTAGCAGATGAAAAAATAAGGATGTTTTCTTACTTTTTGTGCTAGGTTTACATATTTTAATTAAACCAGTTAGACATTTTAAACTATTTGTATGAATAGTATAATATTAGGGATGCTCCAATCACATAATCAGAATTTTAACCCGATCAGGATTTACGAGCAAAATTGGGTGAGTAGGAGCTAATTAACGGTATAAAACAACCAACCTGACATTTTAAATTCATCCTGAGATAAAGATTTTCTTAAGTTTTCCTTTGAACAAATTCTGCTATTGCTTGTCATATGGACTACAACACCGTCCCATTACACAGCTTACGGTGTCGGTACAGTATCTGCTCGGGTGCAAGATCGGCTCGGGGTCCTTCGACTGCCGATGACGTCAAAGTACGGCAAACCCACTCGGACAAAATACACTACACATCTATACTGTTGGAAAGAATTTAGCAGTTTCGTTATTAAAATAATGTTTCTTAAGACGTAAGTTTGTGTTTATAATAGTATTTGTAAAATAAAACACTATATTTGATTCATGTTGAACTCCTCTTTGAGCACATCCCTTGAAGGATCATAGGTATTAGCAACACCTGTGAAATTGTATTTGCAGGAAAGAAGTGTGTCCCGTTTATTGAAGTATTTGTGTTGAGTTTTTGACGTCTTGTCCATGTGTAGTTCAGTTACGCTCATAGCTGCTAGCCAAAACTCTGGAGTTAAAAGTTTTCTGGCTTTACTAAAATACCTGTCTGTACTTATTTGATTGATGGTAGTTTTACTTTCTATTAGACTCCAAATTTAATCATTTGGCACGTTTCTAATTCATAATTTGTAATAATGTAATCGGCGATATTAGCATTAGCATTCCTATGGGTTTTTCCATGTATATTAGCATTACGCTAACCACTCGCTGCCAAATTGCAGCCTTTGCCATTAGAAAATCTCCTTTTGTCACATCGCAATTTAATTGCACATGCAGTTAATCGTTCAGCCCTAATCTACTTGCAGCTCTATGCTAAAAGTGTATTTTCAAAGAGGTAATGATGGATTTCTTTGTAAAAGTTGTCCATCTTTCCAACAGAAAAAATTTGCCTGGACCAACGTCACGTGATAACAACGTTACGTGTTTACGTAATTCCGTAAGGTTCATGTTCAGCCAATCAACTACTTAGACGTCATCGGCAGTCGACGGACTCGAGCCGATCTTGCACCCGAGCAGATCTTGTACCAACACCGGCATTCAGACACTATAACATATAACATGAAGCTGTTAGCTAGCAGGCTGATGCAGAGCTAATGTGTTTCCTCTGGGGAGAGAACATGTCTGCAGTACGAACATGTTTTAAACCAGACAGTGAAGGAAGTGCAGCAGGAAATTGTAATGTGTGCATATTTCACCCGGTGGAAAAGGCAGAACTGCACTCAGCACTGCAAATCGGGCATGCCACCTCAAAAATCAACTTCTTTCACTTTTGAATACACAGCAAATCCCCTGTCTCCATTTTGTTCAAATCTGCCTCGTTAAAAATAAATGTCCTGTGCAATACTTTCAGTTCCCGGCAGCAACTTGGACAAAAACACAGAGCCAGCTGACACTGAAAGATACATTAAAAACGGAGAGAAAATGCCTATGAACAGCAAAAATGCAGAGATAGCTGCATTTATTGCAATGGACAACTAACGGTATGCGGTTGCAAATGTTGGGTGCAGTCTCCTGGAGCTGCCGTATGAGCTACCTTACCGTCACTACAGACGCACCTCTACAGGGGCTCTGCAGAGAGGAGCTAGCCTCACGGCCGTGGCGTGCCTGCCCTGCCTCGAAAACGCTCATCACTTAACGAGTGACAAGTTTACTTTTAAATATTAAATATGTCCTTAATAACAAGTTTTTTAAATCAATGATACTCCTGAACAAATGGTGTTTTTTGTCAGATATACCAAGAAAAAGACTTAAACACAGAAAGAGATAAACAGATAAATAATAATTTAAAAAACCTAAAGGGCAACCTGAATGTATTTTTTCTTTTTTCTTCTTGTTGTAATGCATTGCTGAAAGATCGTTCGGGAAAAAAGTCAACTGACTCGGATCGGAAACAAAAAAGTGTGATTGAAACTTCCCTAAAAATGTACGCTTTTAATGTGTGTATGTGTGTGCATGTGTGTGTGTCTGTGTATGTGAAAAGTGCAGACTTAGCTTTAAAATGTTTCTTTTTATTAAAAAACGATGAATTAATTTTGTCTCTGGACTGATCCCGACTTGGTGTTTAAAAGTCTCGTTTGATGCAAACTAAATCTTTTGATTTGCTGCATGTTATTTAGTGTTGTGTTGCTGAACCACAGAACCGTTTGTAATGTTTGTTTCTTCTGGTGGGATGCAGCATCCTCTGCAGGACAGAAAGATGGAGGTGGTCCGAGCGAGGAAGGTCAGCAGGTTTCTGAGCTTGTTCTCCTGCTCACCTGCATCATGAACACCTCAGACTTCACCCTGCTGTTGTTTTGATGACACACACTCTGCCTTCATGACCTGGTTGTTGGATGTGCTGCTGTGTGTTTGAAGGGACAGTTCACATTGTTACAGGCGTGTTGTGGCTGTAAGGCAAACATGTCCAAAGTGCCACCTGGTATGCTTGTGCGACCCTCAGAGCAATGTTGAGTTTCTAGAATGATTTGTCTCTCTAGAAAGCTGCTGACTGATACTTTCTAACACTTTTATGTTCAGATTTTCACCATATGCATATTTTTGACCTATTGTGAGGAGATGAGTTAGGGTTGAGATTAGGGTTTGCATTTTTATCAATAAAATCAGGTTTTTGTGACCCGCAAGAGCTCTTCATTTTGACCCTCATTTGGAAAGGTTTGGACACCCCTGCTAAAAAGTAACGTCTGACCTGTAGGCAGCTCTGTGAATAGCGACAAAAACAAAACAACAAAAACAGAGCAAACAGCAAGTCCAAGCTAACAGCTAGAATATAAACTGAGCAAACAGGTAGTCAGAGTTTACTACTAATCTGAGTTTATGAGTACTTTAAGCAGGGGCACTGCCAGGAATTTTGGGCCCCATGAAATAATATCAAATTGGGCCCCATCATCAAAGGCCTCAGGCAACGTTTCATAACGATGTACACTGCAGTGTATTGACTTATTTTTACACAGTTTAATTTTATTCAGTCATAAAAAGTTAAAAGCACGAATTTAAACCAGCAACCCATTATTCACTGGGCTACCGCCAAAGCCTTGAGCCGCCATCGCTTCTAGTGAGCTTTAAGCCTGATTTATGCTTCTCCGTCTGCGTCAGTGCGGAGACACGCAACGCCATTATCTGTCCTCGCGTAGGGATCCGGCAGGCACGCAAGTCCGTACGGAGTCGAGCCCACTTTTTTAAACATCCGTCGAACGAGACGGATTACGCAAGCTTGTGATTGGTCAGGACGCCGCTGTTGTTTACAGCGCCACCATTGCAAAGAGAGCCGAGGATAACTAGCGGCAGACACGGAGAAGCTTGAAGAATACCTCGCGAAAAAACTCTAAAAATATGAACGTTTTATCCTCCCGTGACTGGAGGAGTGAAAAGATGCGCAGCAAGCGTTTTATTTGTGGACGGAAATGACAGGAAACGTGGGTTTAGAGGTGGGGAGCGCATGCAGCGGTGGGAGAATGAGAGACAAATATGTCCGTGTTAAAAGTCTCTTATATACACAAAAAACACAATATAAACACACGATCTTGGACCGATAAATGACAGGATACCACAGAACAGCGCTACGCCCTCTGTGGTCCTGCCGGGCAATTGCTTTGCAACACTCTCCAGGAGACGGAGAAGTATGAAAGCAAAACGCTTCCGTGAATCTGTGCGTGTCTGTCCCTTGCGGAGCTGACGGAGAAGCATGAACCAGGCAGAAAAACACCCCCAAAAGATGTTGATTGTGTCCACCCCCAGTAGCACTCCCAAGGGGTGGCCTCCTGCTGACATCAATCAGTAACTGCAATCTCTTGAAACATTTGGCTTTAAAATTTTGTGATTTTGTGAAGGTTTTCATTTAAAATCTAATAGCATGAAAATGAACACAAGTCAGCCTAAACAGTCTAGTGCTCTCAGCTTCTCTCCATGCTCTTATTTTGACGAGCATGGAGCAAAAATAAATGAAGCGGGTTTTCTTTCTTAACTCCAAGGGCGCTCATGTTAAATAATAGTGAGGTACTCTTCACCATCAAACAGCCCAACCTCACCAGGTAGAGTCTAGTGTAAAACATCTGAACTGTCCTTTTAATGGCTTTTTTGTGTGTGTCATCTCATTATTAACTTCCTGCTTCCTGTTCAGGGAAACATCAGAGCTTCCACAGTTTTCACATGGAGTTTGTGTAAAAATCAGTAATAACAAACAAGATGATTTGGTGGTTTTCTAAAATCTAGAGGTAAAAACATGCTGACCCCAGTAGTGATCCAGTGCACGAGCAGGAATTTTGTGGTTGTGCACCAGGAGGATCATCTGCATGTGGCATGAAACTAAATGACATTTACCTGTAAACACACCTGAGATGTGTTTCCAAGTGTGCTCCTGCATGTTTTATCACCACTGCTGTTTCCTGTCTGAATCCAGCGCTGCTCACAATCAGCTGTTTTGTTTTTTCCACAGAAGAGATCTAAGAGACTCGAGGGTGAAACTATTTATATCAGACATAGCAATTTAATGTTGGAGGTTTGTATTTACCCCTTTATTGTTCCTGCACGATGCTGCTGATGTTCATTTTGCTTCATGTTTTTTTTTCTGTAGCTGAATCCAAACGCTTTATCGTGCACGATTTTCCTCTCTGGGGCTCATGCAAGTAGTCTCCCATCTTTTTGTTGTCGTATCCATTCATCCACTACATGACATGTCTGGGAAACATTTTGTCACCTTTAAACAGCAGCGGGTAAGCCTGCAGCAGTGTTAGAGGGCTCTGGTGTTGGTGGTTCCATTTCCTCAACACCCGCCAATGGCGCCAACACAGAACAACAATAGTATGATAGAATTATAAGTCGTGATTTAAGCTCCCTATAGGAGTTCCCGGAAATTTTTGGGTGGGGAAAAAAGGACTGGGAGATGCGACGACTCAATTGTCAGATTTTGTGTCGCCATACAAAATCAGCCCTCTCGGGGCGTTGCTGGCATCAGCCTACGTCGCTGATCGGTTTCAGAAAACTTCCACGGACATTTATTCTGTCAGAATACGCCATAATTAAATCCTTTCGGGGGGGGGGGTGGGGGGGGTGGGGGTGGGGGTGTTCAATGACCACAAGAAACATTGTTTTTTACGGTGCTCTGTAGGAGATCACAAAGGGCCGTGAGTTACAGCGATGTGGTGGTGGTGGTGGCAGGGGTGGGGTGGGGGTGGGGGGGGGGGGGGGGGGGGTGTTCTTCCTCATTTTTCAGTGTTGGGAGTTTAAAAACAATGATTTTAAGTCAGTATGAATGAATGAATGGAAACACGCACATACAGCAAAGATCCCGTAAAATTATCCCGAAGTTCCAATAGTGGAAACGAGCCTATCGAACACAGATCCACATAAAGGACTTTGTGTCTTTGCTGGCTCTGTTTGATGTAGAAATGAAGTCAACCAGTTCATTTTAAAATCCTGAGTAAAAGTCATCACTGTAGATTTGCGATAATCTAAGACCTAAAGCCTTTTCACACAGAGACACACAGGAGATGCTACTGCAGTTTGAGTCAAGGATCAGCTGTATTCAGATCGCATGACATGGTTGATAGAAAAGTAAAGATTCCTGATGTCCTGATTAGTTAACTTCAGTTTTTCTTGATGAACTTCGGTGATGAATCACAAAAGTGGAGTCAGGACATTTTACAAGGTAGCCCTAGCTTAATCCAGGGTTCTTATTGGAGCTTGGAATCCTTGAAAGTGCCTGGATTTGTATTAAAGTGATTGAAACTAGAAAAGTACTAAAAATAATGTCCAGGTGGCTAAAATGAGCCATATTTTAGCATAATCTGCTCAATTGGTGATTGGCCAATTTCAGACTACAAACCAGGATTTATTTGTGTGTGTTTGTGTGTGTGTGTCTGTACATTTTTACCTATGGATTTTTAACAGGGCGTCCCAAACGATCAGGTGTCCAACAATCATAACTGTAACATTACTAAAGGAAGCTGGAGTCTCATCCTTCTACTGTTATTTACTCTGATGATGATGAAATCTTTCCCAGTCATTTCATATTTTACTGTAATGTTTACATTGTGACTTCCTCTCTCCTTCACCGGACTCATCCTCTGTTAGTCTGTCTCCTCCGTCACTCACCTAGTAGATTCCTACTACTGATTAGGGTTGTCACAGTGTGAAAATTTAACCTCACGGTTATTGTGACCAAAATTACCACGGTTTTCTGTATTATCGCGGTATTTTTTTAAACATGCTACATTTTCACTCAATTAAATAAACCCTGTATGTCAGGAAATATTGTCCTCAGTTTGTGTCTAAATTTTGCCTAAAATGTGTTATTTTGTAATTATGTTGTTTATTTGTTTACATTTTTTCCCTTTAGTCTTTAAAATACCAATATTTGCCCATAACTTCTTATTTTTTGTCTGTTTGATGTCATCATTTTAAAAATATTAGATCAGATGATACTCAGTACTCAAGTAGCCTTCTAATCAGATACTTTTTTACCCTTACTTGAGTAATAAACCCTATATCAGGAAAATATTGTCCTTGGTTTGTGTCCTTCCAGTGAGCTTTGCAGATGTGGGAAAATGTCATCAGGCAGTAATCATTGTTAAATTCATAATTATTCTCGGAGAGAGACCACCTCTTATCTGCCCCTGGGAGCCCCGTAATGCATAGCGTCATTTCAACATGGGGGTGTCCGCGACACGGTTCATATGCAGGTAGCGGCGCTGCGGCTGCTTTATGTAGCGACTCGTTGCATTCTCCCTCAACCCAAATCCTCGGATCACGCATTTGAGCTAAAACGCTAACGTTAGCTTGCCTTGCGTTGACTGTAGAGTTGTGGGTGATGGTCACGCAGATGTGTCATGAGATTTGAAGCGTTGCTGCCTTTCACAGACACTTTTTCTGCACGTGCTGCAAACCGGATAGCCGTCTTCTATCAACTGTCCCTCGACATTCTTCAAATATCCAAAAAATGACCATACTTCCCACTTTGTCTTCTTTGAGGGATAATAAATATCCTCCTGAGCGCTGCCGTCTCCTCCTTTGGCCATTATTTCAGCTTTAGCTTCAAGAAAGTTTTGGTTGTAAACAACAAAGTGCCGCCGGTGTTCTGAGAAAACGTCCGACTTTGGCAAAACGTCCTACCCGTAGGATAATTTTACGGTGTTTTACATGACACAAACCCTAACCCTAACCATAACTCTAACCCTAACCAAAAAAAAATCAAGTATCAATGTCAATAAAAAGTACTAATACTTACTACTTATCTGTTTTCCTGCAAATATGACAGCGGAGTAGCATTCCCCTTTTATGTTGTGTGCATGTGTGCACATGCTCAGTAACAACGGGTTTACGGGGTAGGAGAAATTCCCAGAACACCTGCAACTTCAGCAGATGATACGGTGGCTGGTAAGGATCACCGCGCCTACACCGCAGCCACGGTAATCCACCGAGATAATATAGTTTTTTAAGAACAAGGTGGTTATTAGTATTGTCAACTTTTTTACCGGGGTTTACCGCTACACCAGTTACCGTGACAACCCTTCTACTGATCAAGAGAGTAAGTTATTAACCAGAGCACAGAGCAGAGGTCTCAACAGGAGGGTAATTCCTAGGAATGTTTGAGGTGGATTGGAGAGGGGTGGGGGGGGTGGGGTTTAAAGGCCAACCAGCTGGTTTCAGGGTCTGACCCTGGGTAGGTCTGAGGTGCCTGAGAAGGTCACAGGGCTACATTTTGGCCCAGAGCCCCAGGCAGAGACAGTCCTGTGTTCTTCTACTGTTATTAAACACATAAAAACTCATTTATTTTAGTGTCAAAGACAGATTAGAATGGATGATCTTATTTCCTTTTGCCACCTGTGACAGGTGAGAAGGTCTAGTCCATAAAGGTTCTGAGTGACATGTTATTCCTGGATGTTCCTTTTCCAGTCGGACTGATCCATTATTTGTCCGTTTCTTGTTTGTCGTCCTTTCATTATTCAGTAAATCTAGAAACATGGTGTCTCTGTCGGTCGTTGGTTCTGATGATCCCAAACACCATCTGCTGCTCTTCTTCTTGTCCTCTGCTCTAATGTTTCTAATGTTTCTTCTTGAAGAATGTGGATAAAACTCAGACCGAGATCATGCGCCACCACACCAGTATCAGCGAGCTTAAGAGGAGCTTTATGGAGTCGGTACCAGAACCCCGGCCCAGTGAGTGGGACAAGCGTCTGTCCACAAACTCGCCCCTCCGCACGCTGAGCATCAACGGCCAGCTGCAGCCGGCGGTGAGTCCTAGAACCTGGAAGAAGTCACTGGGTCACTGAGGGACCTGACGTAAATAAACTTAAAGATCACAAACGAAACAACTCTGAACTTTTACTCAACTCAGCTTTATCCTTAATTACAGAGCACCTTACTTACGTAAAACATTCCACCAAAATGTTGTACAGACCTAAATAAAACAGAATCAATCGTAAAAGAGGCACAAAAACAATGAATCAAGTAAAACAACAAGTAAAAGCAAACCAAAAGATCATAAAATAAGTCTTGTTTTAAAAACCACCTCAGATGAACAATCTGATCAACAAATAAAGCTTGTTCCATAGCTTTAGACCCGCCCCCAAGACGGCGCCTATACAGTAATCCACTCAGTGTTTTTAGTTTCATCTGCTGGGAGAACACACACCCAGCCCCCTGACTGTATGTTCTAACTGCTGCTCTTCTGAGCAGGCCGTTTATTCAAACACAAGCAATTAGGCACAATTTCCATCATGTGATGGGGGCAGTCCCCATCACCCCACAAAATACATTGTAAAGCATTACCATAAAGCAGTAGATTGTTACCATGTGATCCTCCTCTTGTATTACACACAGAGCTGATATTCACTATTCCTCTGCCGATTCCCAAAAAACTCACACTGACCTCCTCCCCTCAGGTGGTAACTGGAACCGTTGATAGTCTGCTGAAACCAATTGTTAGCCAAAATTCCTGTTACAGCCAAGTCACAAGTTGCCCTTCACTCACACTGGTCAGTTCTTTATTCTATCCTATTTGTTAGAATATAAGAATTATTTATACTTTTACTCTCACAGAACTAAAATCATCACAGTCAACCAAAGACAGGGGCGTGTCCAGGGGGTGGCCTGGGGTAGCACATGCCACCCTTGGAATCTGATTGGCCACCCCACTGAATTCCCATTAAATAGACTTGTCTACAAAATGCTTGGGTAGAAAAAAAAATCATAACCATTGGTGCCACCCATGCATAAAGAAGTGCACTACCCGGGCCACCCCATTTTAACATATCTGGGCACGCCACTGACCATAGAGATATCAATACAGTCATTTGGGTCACTGCCTTTGCAGTGTCGCAACAAGTTTTCAGACGTCCATCTCTTGACCTCAGCCAAACAATCCAAGAGAGTTTTAATAGGGCGATCACCTGACTTAAGCAGAGGGAAGTATAGTATGCAATCATCAGCATATAGGTGAAAACCAATGCCACATTAATGCAGGATATCACTCAAAGGCAGAATATAAACAGAAAATAGGGTCCCAGTATTGGGCTTGCTGGACCCCCCAAGGCTCAGTGTTCAGTGTACATGTGTGTGTAAACAGTTTTGCTGAAACAATCACTGAGTTGATGCTCTTTATCTGATCTTTCAGTCTCCTGTGCTGAAGGCCCAGACAGTCACCATCTCAGATGTCACCAACTCCCTACGAGGAACTGTGGCCTACAGGGACATCCCATTAGTCCACACTGAAACCAAGACCATCACATATGAGTCAGCTCAGGTGAGTACGGTCCAGGAAACGGCTCTGGACTCATTTTAGTCATCTGAAGTCCGGAATCAGTTGTTACCTAAAGACAGGCTCAGGGTGAGGGGTTAAATATATACAAGACCCATGGCCTGTCAGAGTCTTCACTGATCTGCTGCTCCTCACTCTGCTCACTTATCAGTGTTTTTGGTATGATCTTTGACCCTAGCATGCACTTGGAATTCCAGACTACAGGTTGGCGTCTCGACTTTGCTAAGGAGATTTTTCAGACTCATTTATAGCAAGTTCAATTAGCTATGATTGGATTCTTTACTGCTAATGATG